TATGTTCCATATCTATTATTTTCTTAACACAATTTCTCTTTCTAAAACATCTTGCTTAGTGCAATTATATCAATAAGAACTTTCATTAACTAATTTTTTCGTTAAGGTGTAAATTCTTTTCTCGAGTTTGAAAAATTATCTACCAAGAAGAAATTGACAATAATGACGATGTTGTTGAATAGAATTGTATAGTATTATGTACGTAATAAGTATCTATGTAATTATAAAATAACTTTGAAATTTGTATGGAAACAAAATGAATTGTACTGAAAAAAATGTTCATTGGGGAAATTTGGAACTGATAAATTGCAATATTATATGAACGTAGCTTATTTGTTTCAGTTAAGTCTAAAAACTAAAAAGGAAAATTCAAGTGTAGGTGAATTACAGCAGTATACATTGCGTGTGACCAGTGATTTTTGAAACAGTTATATTACAGTCTGCGTAATATTATGCGGATAAATGCATGAAATGAGTTCTTAACGCAAATGGGAATTTGGCAATGTGTAGGTACAGTATATAATATATTACCAAGAATTTATTATTATTTCGACCCAAGTGTTTTAGTGTTATTGAATAACAAGACATAAAATTATTGTTTTATATTTTTGTATGGATTATTTATAAAAGAAAACCAAATAATACTCAGTTATTTAAATTAAACTTTCTCTCAAAGTTTTTAATTAAGAAAATATTGGTTAGCAAGACTATTATTTTAATTAAATTCTAGTTTTGTTTAGTAGTGAATATTTTTCGGTATATCCAATCATTCTTTTAAGATTCAATTTAAAAAATTAACCGTCAAATTCTCCATTAATTCATTATCATCATGATTCATTAAATAACAAACTTTCATTTCAAAAAAAATTATAAATTTTCAAGTAAATGAATTACATTAATCGTGTTTTTAAATCGGATGTTAAACATCTGTCGTTGAATATTTTATCAAAAAATCTCTATCATGAAACTTCCCAATTTTTCCCCCGAAGGCGCTGCTAGTCAGAAAGCATGACTACTTACAGGAGAATTGTATGGTCAGACTTGATGCTAGGAAAATGCCTTGGTAACCTTTCAGTTATACAAATTTATTATCATAGCATTTTTATATATTAATGTATATACGTGATATTGCATATATATGGATATTTATTATCATTTGGTGTATCAATTAGTCAACATGGTTGACATCAAGTGATGTTCATCAATTAACTTATATGATGATCGAGATTAATCGACTTCATAGCATAACTGACTGTTTTCTCGATATTATATATATATGTGACATATGTGTATTTTTTGAGGCTTGATAATACTCACGAATAAGTGCCTTCAGATAAGCAAAAACATGATGACCCGAGTTTATTGTACAGATCGTGACCATTACAATCAGTAAGTAGATCTTGAACGCGAAACATACCTGCAACATTAATAGAAAAATACATATTTGAATAAAAACAAAAATGCTATACTTCGATTAGAAATGTTCATAACACAAACTCTATTATAAAATGCATTTATTAATGTCCAAGGTTTAGTCTGATTGAATTGTCTATAAATTTCTGGTCAAAACATCTCATTCATTTAAACACTAAACATAGTATAAAATACTAAAAATTAGCATACTGTATGCAAATTACCTGAATGTTTGAGAATTACTTGATGTTGCCGAAAAAAAGTGAGTAGCAAAAAAACATGGTCACATTCAGGTGGTGTTGAATCATAAAAATATCTGAGTGGATTTAGGGGAGAGAAAGAAACAAAAATAGGAGGAGTGGGTGGAATCTGAAGAGTTTGATGGTATCAAGACGGTGTAGTTTCGCTGTTACGTTGGTGGCGCCATGCTGGCTATGTGATTGGTGATTCAGTTGGTTTCTGGGCGTGGTGGAAAAGTCGTAGTAGAGGGGGTTGTAAATGAGTAGGGGTAAAATGAGTGCCACCAAGTGATACCAGAGGGGATTGAGGTTTAGATGGAAGGCAACACGGCCTACTCGAACCGTCCGTTTCTCCTTGCTCAACCACCACCTTTTAAGCTTGTGTTGTGTGTTGTGTATAGTCTTTAGCACGGATATATGTTGCAAGGGTTCCCTCGACTGACGTCTGCCGCGCAGAGGCCAGTATACGATACGCTCCTCCGAGGTTAGCATCGTAGTCACGTTTACGCTTACTCTCGTAAGACCAGTATTGAAAGACGTTAAAGTGGTGGAAGCTCTTGGAGAGGTTGGTCCTGAAAAGAAAGAAAAAGAGAGGGTTCATTAAGAAGTGTGAGAGTCTAAGTGCTAGGAGTATGCGGAAGGGGAATTTTAAATCTGAAACAGGTGAGCGGGAAGAGCTAGTTGTCGTGGACACGTGAGCTTTTGATTATCGATAATATAGTGAGATTTATTATGAAGATAAGTATTATTTATCGTAAGTGAGTGCGAAGAACTCCAACATCAAGAGACAGTTGAATGTGGAGTTAACTAGTTCAAGTATAAAACAAAATTTGATTTTCACCCCATTATACTGGATGAACCGTGTGTCTGTGCTATAAGTGTATGACAGCAATAGTGTACTATCAAGAACCTAGTTCCTAGTGACGTTATCAAGTGACCAGTGTTGAATTACAATGATTATTTTAATCATCAAACATATCATCTTTTAACTATAACTAATCATTATCGTTGTAGTGAAAAGGAATAAAAAATACCAGTGAATTGTACCTGTTCAACAGTCAATTGTTTGTGTAGCTTTTGATCAGATTTACTATAAAGCTGTCACCAAGTACAAGATTGCAGCCGTCGTTGCTGCATCATCAACAATCAGATCGACAGTTGTCCTACTTTGCGAATGATGACGTAGATTCCAGGTGCACGACGGGCGTAGACAGAAGTGTAACGCTACGCACGGTGTACGCGCTGGACAGAAACACTTCGGGGCTGGGGGTTGTTGGAGGTGTCGTCGGAGGAGTAGGCGCTGGAGGTGGTCCGGGGGTTGTTGGAATCTGCGGACCACCTACCACGTCCCTCACGCCGACGGATTACGTTGCCGCGGCATGCTATCCATCAAGCTCATCAATAACACTGAGTAGCGTCACCCATCCCCAGCCCTCGGGAATTGTTGATCCGACGATGACGCCTACGTCAGCACCTGCAACATCAGCACCTACGGGCCCCAACAATTCTATAGCTATGAGTCAACTTGGTACCGTGTATGCTACGAAACGCCGCAGGAGAAATGGCAAAAGGTAAGTTTTTAGATTCTTCAACATAAAAGAAAAACATTAGATAGTTTGATAGACAGGTTTCGGTAAGATTGGTTACAAATTCGCTTCTGTTTGATTCATGGTATAGATCAAGACTGTATACCTGATGCATTATGAAAGAGTGTAGTCTATGTTCATCAGTTATGCAGCAAATAATGAAGTGATTGATACCTTGTATGAACTGAAGACTCATTCAAGATTCTAACTTTATAAACACCCAAAGAATACGTGAACTAACCTGACTGACTGTAATAAACTTCATCCTTAGACGACATTGATTGTATCATGATACTTGATTATAACTTTTCATCTAGATGAATCATCACGTAATACCACATTTACTACAATTTTACCAATTACCAAACTTTTAATCTAACTTTAATGAATATTCTCAACTAATTTGGTACTGTTTATCAAAACATCATGTTCAACTTTTATTTATCACTTTAGATATTGATCTCATATCTAAAACAAACTATCATCTTAATCATCAGATCTTTCTATCATCAAATAATTTCAATAATAAAATGATATGATTAATCAACTACGTGGTCTTTCATTATCTCAACTAATGAAGTAGACATAAAACCAATATCTTCTGGTATGTGTATTAGAACCCAAACACATTTATGTAGATATGATGTAAAATTATATATCATATACTCCGTCTGATACTTTAATAAAAAATAACATGAAAAATACGTTCAGTATAAACATTCAATGAAGTAATTTTGTAGTTGTATATTGATTAAAATTAATTTCTGCTAGCAATAACAATAAGACTACACACTGAATGTACGTTATAAGTCAGGTGTTTATGTTGTTATAGACCAGTATAAACATAATAATTAATTGAATGTGTACTATACATATCTGGCTATGAGACAAGTTACCAGGACTTTTATTCAGTTGATTGAAAAGAACCAGTTCAGTGGATTATTATTGGTAGAATCATTAGCTATTGCTATAACGTATTTTAATAGCACTATAATTAAATATTTCATTTCGACTTTCCTTAAAAGGTTTCCTCATCTATTAATTAAATTTAATTAAACATTATTATATGTAAAATGCACTGAATAACACACTAGCTTGTACAAATGTTGGAATATCATGATGGACACTTCATACTATTCTTGATTGTATAATTTCTATTTAATTTAGCACCAAAAAAAAATAGTAGTATGTGTTTTTTATTAGCATAAGTTGGAAATTTATTTCCTTTTTCATTGAATTCCTTGACATTCTTGAAACATCTTCATCAGTAAAAACGGTTATATCAAGGTATAGCAAATTTTTTTTGAATAACCGGCTTCATTCGTGAGTCCCTTGTGTTTTCATCTTTCTTGCCTGCGGCAACGTTTGCTTCACTTAATCCCTGTTTGGACTAGTTTTCTGTTTCTGCTCGTCTATCTTCTCCAATGTTTTGCTTTGCAGTCCTACCACTTGAACGTAAGGTATAAACGAACCCAGGAGTTCAAAAATGACTATCATCAGATTCAGATGCTTGAAAGAGAATACTTGAAACTTGGTGTTGTATCAAGTAATAAATGTTGCTAAAACTAACTGATTTCATTAAACTAAAAAGTAAAGAAATACTTGACATAGTGAGTGAATTTATGAAAATGATAAAAGTAAAGCTCTAAACTAGTGGGAAACTGTTTTTAAATTGAAGGATGGGATTTAGTTAATAACAGCAACTTCTATAATTTGGAGTTTTTAAGGCGAACGTTAAAATTGCTAACAAAGCAAAGGATTACTGTTATTAGAGGTACACACGGATCTTTTTCTGTTTCTCTTCTGCTCTACTGACTCCAGAGATTTTGATTATACTTGACTCACTGGATCCACCAAGTTACCTGTCAACCTGTTCTCTTTTCCTTTTTCTTTGTAATAGCTTAGCCATTATTTTATTTTTATGTCTTCACCCTTTTATTTACTTTTTTTTATTATTAACACATTGCTGATGAATAATTGACGCGATTTTTTCAGAAGCAAAAGTTTTCAAGCTAAAGTCATATTACATTTATGACATTAATATAACGTCGTAGCGATAATGATGTTCAAAAAGTCAAATATAAAAATCCTTTCACCAGGAACCAGACGATTTAACTTAACCGCTCATTACGAGATTTACGTTCACATCCATAAAGAAATTGCCGTCTAGACAAGAGACGAGTGGCTGAAGAGTATCAAGATAAAGAAGAGTATGTGTAGAAGACGCGTTTTTGAACCCGACGGAATGTTTCGCATGATTAGTTCTTAAGTAGTTACCTTATGTATCCTTATGGAGGTATAAAGTTGCTTTATGACTCTATGATGAACCTGTTTTTTCAAGTCCATGGCTCTATTGATGAACGGAAGAATAATAAAAAAAAAGGACAAATAGCAGCTAAAAAGTCCAGTCAGATGTAAAAGAGTGGAATATAGGAAAAGCAAAAAGTCATCGTCAGCTGCAGTTAAACGACTTGTTTGCTGATGAAATTGGTATATCATATTTATTAACACTTGTCAAAGAGCATTTGGATGAAATTATTATCCTTCCATTGCTACTGATTTTTTACTTTTGTGTACTTGTTTTTGTGATTTATTACCTCGTTAATTTGTTAAATGAAGTTCTATAGATGAAGTCATTCCTTTTTTTTGTGACGTGTAATTTGAAAAAATTATTTTCTCTTTAATAAAAAATGACTCTAAGAAAGTTGGTTTAAGTTGGTGGAAAAATGGAATGTCTTTAAATACTGATAGAGTTAATGATATGAACAAAAAAATAATTTACGAGGCGCGAGAATTAAGCCAACCTGGAGTGTTTTTAAATCGTACTGGACCTCTGCTGAGTGTTCAACTATTCAATAATTCATTCCACCATTCATCACTAGCCAGGCGAGAGAATTTATTTCTATATTTTGGCCTCCTCCATTGGTCCATACATCAGACTCTTATTAGTAGCGATTTATTTGCTGGGTTTCTCTTGATTCGCACAGTCTCGATTTATCCAAGCATCTTCATCTCATTTCCTTGGGTCTTTGTTTATTTTGCCAAAACTCGTGTGTTGCTTTTGAAAAACTGAAACTTAATGGATTTATGATAGGTGTAGAGATACAATCTGGAAGAGGGTGTAATTTTATAGAAAAAAAAAATCATGAATTCGGATTAATGTAGTTTAATATTGATAACGATAATAAATTGTGAGAAAGTTGGACTAGTGATTTGAGTGTTGAATATTTAACTTACTTGATCAAGAAATTTTATTTCAATTGAATAGGTATTGGAATTACAATTAATAAAACAATTGATTGACAATTCTATTTTTTTTTTTTCATGAAAATTTTTTCACCATATCTTTCGTCATCATGACAAGAGTTTTTTCATTAATGTTATTTGTAATAAATATAATTTTTTTTGATAATAACAAATCATTTTAAAACCAAACAATCTACATGATGTTATGAATAATGTTTGCTAGTTGAGATAATTTTCAACTTACCATTAAAAATGAAAACATATTTTTATACTCTTCATCATTAGATCCAAATCCAAACGATAAGTTTGTACATAAATGTGATTTATGAATTTATATCATACAAAATGTATTCTTCTCATTATCCAGGGGTGAAAAAATCATACACCCTTTTCTCAAGTGTTCACATGTAAATTGGTTGGTAGACTTTATATAGACATATTCTTATCTATAGTATATGTATATATATTCATAAGTTTGTACGTAATGTGTGTGTCATTTTATATCATTATATTCCATACTTGCATATGACTGTTTTTCTTATTCTTGACCAAGCTGTTTCCGGTGCCAGGTAGACAAAGATAGTTACACTGTCATTATGTCACCCTGGTTTGTCATTTTATTCTTCTTTTCTTTTGAGGGCATCCGTTCTCCCACAAACTCAAAGACAGATGTCGATGTGTGCATATCATATGCATCATAATGTAAGTGTGATTATGCATTGGAAATTCTTGATATCACTGTAATAAAAAAAAAACTTCAATTAACACAGTGTTTTTAATATTTCTCAAGAAATTTTTCCATTTCCTGCCTAGTTTAGAGTCATTTTGATTATTAATCGATCAGAATCGTGAATATTTTGTTTCAATCCGTTATCGTTTGGAAAGCAATCAAATCTTTATCTTTACTGTAAATAAGAAAGTATTATTGCAAATATCAATTGAAAGATATTCTTTTTTTAAGTGGAAGTTTTTCTTTATTTATTATAATTAATTTATGCTAAATAAGTATAGAAAAGTAGTTTAATGTTTACTACTTACCAGATTAAAATATTCACAGCACATTCATCAATGGTACTCGTCCATTAATCGAATTAAAAATCATAACGATCAAGAGGATTTCCTTGCAAGACCATAACACATACCTATAAGTCTAACAACTGATGCGCTCTACATATGTCTGACAAGATATCACCACATAATTTTGTTCGCATATCTCCTTAATTACTATTTAACAATTCTGCGTTAAATTGATTAATTAATGGCAAGTCTCGGTAAATGAGTTTGAACAGCATTCTAATTTTATTCTACGGTTATTTCGAAAGTGGTACATTTCTTAGAAATAAAACCAGCATAATTATCATATCCGATACGTAAGAAGAATTTATTTAATTATTATTATACCATCATTAATTTTCACTCATAAATATCGTTTCTATTGACCAGTCTTCAGCATCTAAGAAGTATCAAATATTCTTCTGTGGTTATTCAAGTCAGTTGATCATAAAACTACACGGTATACCGTCCAATTTGAAGATCCCCTAATTTCTCATGGATTTGCATGTTTGGAATGGGGTAAAGATACAGAATAAAATTTGGAAGAGAAAAGAAACTCAATGCCTGGAGCATATTTTCAACTATAAACACAGGTTATCCAAATAATCTTCTACTCATTATGGTGGTAGTGTAAGTGAGTGTTTCAGTTTTCATTATCAAACTACACTGAAATATGTAAGTCTTCA